GGACATTTGTTACATGTGTACTGTGGCCATATTTCCTGGAACATGGAGGAACATGAATAATTAGTTTTAATATTCTGGATTATCTGAATATTTTTAGAACTGGAAATGGAGGAAAGATAATAAGGAGATTCCTTTGTAGAAGTGTTTATACAGATTGTGTTCATAGGGGTGAATAAAAATAAATAAAAGCAGCAGAGATGGAAAAATTTCCTAATGCTCTTTCACCTCAACTGAATCCATACTTGTCAGGGAAGGTAAGGCTTAAAAAGGAAACCCTCTGGAAAAGTTTGAGAGCTGCTACTTTAATCTTCACCTTCTGAGAAGTTTCAAATATCAAGAGCAGAGAGAGAGAGAGAGAGACTGAGTCTCTAATTAGTGAAGGAGGCAGGTAGGACATTAATTGATTTGTTATGCTTCTTCTTTGACCTGTGCTGTGTTTGAGAACAATAGAAGAGCTGTAATGTTCTTCAACAACATAGCCGAGCTTTTATGCAATACCAGCTTAGAAACCTTTGATCACGAACTGGTGCTGTAAATCTGTAATTTTTATAATAGTGCTTTTTGCTACATGTATTTTAATTTTATTCATTTATTCTTTGTTTAGGAATTACTTTCACAGAGTTTGGGCTACTTTCTCATTTTACACAGTGTTTGGAAAGTCCTGAAATCAATGTCTCTCTTCTAATAGCGGTATAGTACAAATCCAGTAACATTTGCGAGGAAGTGGAATAGTATGGTTTTATGTATGATGCAAGTCATTATAAACCTGAAAAATAAGAAAAGGGGGGAAAGAAGGTGAAGAAAGGTAGAGGAAGGATTTATTTTTATCTGTCCTGGATTGCCATTTAGGTTCAAACTTACTATGTAACAGTGTCTGTCATGGCTCCACAGTCCCAAATTTCACAGTGAAACATTATACTGTCACTGCAGAGTCCTTTGAAAGCTGCCTTCAGTAAAGGTGTTTAATAGTCCTAATAGTTTAATTAATGATTTAGAACCAAAGAGACATTTAATTTCAAGAGAGTATGTAAAAATAATGCTATAAAAGCAGTGTACGTACTGTGACAGTTAATATCAAAAACTACCAGCTTACAAAAATGTGTGGGCTTGGGCATAATTTAATCACTTAGTTGACTGTTGTGAAGAAGAACAAAAGAACAAAAAGGGTGTCTCAACTTCTATATAGCCCAGAAGCAGAAGCATTGACTTAGAATTTAATGAAAATGTGCAACACAAACATACAAACATATTGGAGGTCTCAAAAAAGAAAAGACCAAGGGCTTTTATTTGCAAACAAAAGGTCCCTGGCACTTTGAATGTAATTCCCGCTGATCCTTTTTAACCTTTTTTCAGAAAAGGGCTGCTCTTCCTACTCCCAGCAGCCAATTTAAAAAGGGATCAGCCACTTAGCCTGAGTTTCAGACAAAAATTAGGTATCTGTTTGTCTACGTTCCCTGCGTAGCCAAAAAGGAAAGACAGAGATGATCCATCACACCGTGAGAGAGATGGCTGAGATAATCAAGATGTAGTGCCCTGTTTAGATCAAGTGTCCTCTGCAAGTGCCTTGTCCAACATCATAGTCCAATGGTAACAGAATGATCTTGGATCTTGCTGTGTCTTAGCTGAGCTGTGAATGTAAAACAACATAACTGTATGGTAAAATCATTCAAGTAAACACTGTTATCTGGGCATGTCGCTTTGGAGGGATTTCACCTGAGACAAAGAAAACCATTTTTTATTTGGTAGAAGAATGCCCAGATAGGGAAGTGGGCTTGTTTATTTGTAATGATTTAACTCAACATCTGCGTAATGAATAAAATTTTAACTCTGGGACAAATCCATATATCAAAGCAAAGTGTTGCTTTTCCTGAAAAGCAGCACTTCTCATCTTTGGCCAGATGGCTTAGTGTGCTTAAGAGCTTCAAGTCAGTCTTTTTTGTAAGGGCTGGGTTTTTCTTTGACGTAATATTACCCATTTATTCCTCCCTACCTTGAACCATGCTTGTGCCTGTCATTATGCAAGATATCTGATTATATCAATGAGCAGTTTATGTAGACTGAGGACTATGTATATTATGTACAGAATTAGGGAATTCCTTACATGATTTTCATACACGAAGGTACAAGTGAAAGGCTGACATTTACATTTTCTGGAGAATGCATTTGTCTGTTTATTAAGCATCATTCTCTTTAATTTCATGGCACTCTGTGGAGTAGAATAGAAAATAATACGTGTGTGTGTGTGTGTAAGAATATCCAGTCCTGCTCTGGAAAAAAAAAAAACTTCAGCCAAAATAAGCATTTGACTGTTTTGCAAGATAATGTCTAGCATGATGCAATAGCAGGCACCTGGTACAGTCACATCATCATTGGTTTCAGCTTTTCTTCATGACCAACAAAAATTAGTCAACATATAAAAAAAAACCACCCCAAAAAAAAGAACTGTAGGCCAGATGGCTTTTGAGAACTGAATAAAGTGAGAGGTGAAGTAAGCATTTGACAAGAATGCACAGGGAAAAGATTAATCATCACTTCATGTTCTATGTCCAAAACAGTTGTGTCTTTGCTTGTCTGTGATGTCTGATTTTCCATAAGACCACAGGCATTCCCTTTAAGAGACATGTAGACTGTCCCTCTGAAGGAAAGCTAGTATTGCACAGATGTAAACAGTCCGCATAACTCAGAAATCCACAACAGAAATATTGTTAAAAGTATTTACACAATTTGATCACAAAGTACCATGATGGTATGCAAAAGTTAACTGATGAATTGTCTGAAGTGCAGAATAGCACGTGTTTAAATAGTTAAAAATACTGGTCATCTCATTTTAAGGGTCCTGTCGGCTACTTGTGTTTGTTTGTTTTCAATAGGAACGTCCTGGAAACATACAGGAAATGTGCAAAATGTATCAAGGTTGGGCCGCACAGGTAGCAGGCAGCACCCCGGTACTGCAGCCGTTCTGAGTTTTTTAGCTGTACGCATGAAATGACTTGAGAGCAATGTGTGTGTCTGAAACCGTCACTGTATATGTTTTCACATATGTATATTCTAAATACATGCAGAAGCTTGTATGCATGTGATGTACAAACAGCACTGTATTTGTAAGCGTACTCATGTACTTCTTTGAAAGTGACTTAATAAACATTTGTTCTGTTCCTCAAGTAGCAAACACTGGAACAGAAGAATGTGCAAGGTGATACAGGCATAGAAAATTATAAATAGACACTCTGTTAGCCTTTTCATTCACATAAACATAAGGTATGTACCATATGTTGATTTTTTTGCATTTTAATGACAATGATAAGTATGGTATACCAAACTGTTTCAGCATAAATTAACTTTACAGTCAAATTCTAAAAGCAATGATCAAAGGCCGACTACATATCTAATAATTATTTGCATAGTTGGGCCCTGATATACGTTGATGCCTCTATGATGAGAATATTTTTGTTAAATACTATCCTTTTGTGGCAGTCTCCTCTAAGGACCTGACAGCTGGTTATTTTTATGCACAAAGGGTTTTAAGCAAAGAAAATACTTAGCTCACATATATGCAGGTGGATATAACTGGTTCCTGATACACACACGAACACGCTATATTTGTATATGTATATACATATATAAGTTGTATACAAGTACAACATTTGACACAAATATAAATTTTTGAATTTTTATGTCCCTGATTTATATTATCTTGTAATATTCCATGACTATTTGATATATTAAAAATCTGTCATGATATTTAGACTGTATGCAGGTGGATATAACTGGTTCCTGATACACACACGAACACGCTATATTTGTATATGTATATACATATATAAGTTGTATACAAGTACAACATTTGACACAAATATAAATTTTTGAATTTTTATGTCCCTGATTTATATTATCTTGTAATATTCCATGACTATTTGATATATTAAAAATCTGTCATGATATTTAGACTGTTAACACCATTACAAAAGCAAACTTTTTTTGATTTTTCTCATTACTTTCAGGGCTATCGGCCCTCATTTCACATCCTGTTTTGTGGAAAGAGAGGCCAGTTTCAACAGGTTTGGATTTCACATTTGGGAGAGAGAAGAATTAGTAGTTCAGAGACTGTTCAGATAAGCCTGACCTTAATTGACACAGCGGTGTGTTAGTTTCTGCTCAGTGAAGGAGAAAAAGAGAGAAGCAATATTGCACATACTTAAAAATCATAAAAATTTCAGTTTAGAGTTTCTACAGATGACTTAAAAGACATACAAATTTCTACAGTTATGTATATTTTGTCTCAGTGACCTCGCATCAGATGTGAAAAGCAAGAAAATTGTTTTCTAGCTACCAGGACACTTTTTTCCCAAGGGCCTGAGGGCCATGCAGTTCATTCCTCATCCACCGTTGCTGTTAATAAAGTGGCAATCTCCAAGTAATGTCCCGACGGCTACCTGTGCAATCCCGTTATGCCATAAGCATCGTCACTGCTGAGGGGGGAGACGCCCCTAGTATGGGTTCTGCTTCTGAGCCCTGCAACTCCTGTTGCTTTCATGGCACTCAGATGGTCACGCTGGATGGCTCAGCCGTTGATTAAAAAGAACTTGGGTTTGTTGTTCTGTCTTTCTGGATTAAATGGGATTTGCAATTGCTTAGCGACTGCATTTCCTTTCTGCTGCTCCAATAAGTTTGACAGAAACTTAAGAATGATCTCTAGGTGTAAGCTTCTTACAGGTGCGTGTGAGTTTTGGCAATGGCATATGAATTGTCTTTGTTCATCTAGGCTGGCACTCTGCCTCCAGTACTGGGAAAAAGGTGCAAGAAATATGACAGTTGCTAGTTTCAGAAAAACTCCCCCAAAGGAAATGTTCTTTCCTAATATCGGGTAATTAAAAATTCATGTCTGAGGGTTTATTTCCATTCTAATTCTTCTCCTGAGGTTCAAGAATGTTTTATTTCTTAGTAATGTAGTTCTTGATGTTGTTGTCATTGATGAAGTATTTGGTTCTTTTTGTATATAGCTATACTCTTGGTCCTAATTACGTCATGGAGCATTAGGTGCTCATGGAAGAAACAGATAAACATACTCTAGGCAGCAGCGGCAGCGCATGCTCACCGTGCTATCCAGCCAACGTTCCTCAACTCTGACCTGAGGACCACCTCTGGAGGTAAGAGTCCCTTCTTATCAGTGAGTCCTCGCTTTCTCTGCCAAGAGTGTTAGCAGAAAGGACATTCAGAGCCAACAGTATAGTTTTGTACAGCAGGGACCTGTTCACCAGAAACTGTTCCGTGATCACTAAAGTCATTTCATATACACCACCAGAAAATTTATATCGTAACATATTTATGCTCCCATTTCACCTAGGGCTTGAACCCTGAGGAACTGGCAAATGATCAATTCTGTAACTCATTTGTTTCCTCAAGACCTGGCCCTTATATAACTGTTTCTATCTGAAATGTATAACGAATCATTCACCAGAAACTGTTCCGTGATCACTAAAGTCATTTCATATACACCACCAGAAAATTTATATCGTAACATATTTATGCTCCCATTTCACCTAGGGCTTGAACCCTGAGGAACTGGCAAATGATCAATTCTGTAACTCATTTGTTTCCTCAAGACCTGGCCCTTATATAACTGTTTCTATCTGAAATGTATCACGAATCGCATGCGTACACTTTGTAAACCAGTAGATGTTATTACTACTTTAAAGATGAAACCTTAGAACTGTTGAATATTTTCTAAAAATCAAACAACATTTGAATTACTGTCTCTGGTTTTACCTACTCTTGATGTAGGTAGTCAAGTTATAAAATTAAAAATATTCTTCATGTGACTAATTATTTGCCCAAATCACAAATATTTTTTTTCCTTTACAGGTAGTTGGCATGGTAATTGCCGGTTTTCAGTTGTCAAAAATCACTACCATATAATCAGAGGGGTGGCTGAGAGACCAGTTGTCTTAAAAGTTTTGGTCCTGCAGACTTGCTCGTCTGCTGTTCAGTAGCAACATAAAATAGCAACACAGGTTCTTATGGTGACAAATTATCCTGACTAATTCTGCAGACAGCTCTTTCCATAATGTTCATGAAAAGATTAAAAATTAATTGATAATTTCTCAATGAATCAGTCTGTACTTTCCAGTCATGTCTGCTATCATTTTCCTAGGATGACCTTAAAACATTTTATAATTTTATTTCATGTACCTGGCTGAGTATAGAACTATGCTCATGCATCATTTAACACTCCTCAACTGAGAAGGTCGATGTTTTGGCAGAGCTGGGTGTTAATGTCTTTATGGATGGAAAATTTTGGTTTTATATTATATCAGTACCTCTACAAGATGTGATGCTGGGATTTAGGGCTCTAATCTCTTGGAAAATGATGGATGAGATCCAACTCCGTTCTTGTTAAGCTTTGAAAGAAAGGCTGACACTTGTGGCATATGCAAGTGCTGTTTAGTTGTTTGCTTGAAACTGAAAGTCTGAAGAACAAGAAAATCAACGTTTTTAGCCTGGCTCCAACATATGTATTTATAAAATATCCAGATTCTCTTTATATTTTATTTTTAAAGTAAAACTGAAATAAGCCTGAATTTTGAAATATCTTTCTCTTGGAATAGGATGTTATGGACTATTTCTTTTTCCTGTTGTGGAATATTTATTGTCTTACAGCCTGCATCTACAGTCTCACAACACAGAGAAAATAAATCCTGATGATGTTAAACGTTTGGAGCAAAACTCTGACAATTTCACTTTTGCAACAGGAACATGATGGCCTATTTTCTGTTTTTCCCAGAAGGTTGTTGGAATTTACCTTGGAAATTGTGTGAAAGCTTCAGGTTTGTACTTCTCTATATGTGATCTGTCTGTGTATTTTACACAAAACGTTCATCCTGATTTGCTTTGGCAATTATCTTTGCCTTTCTCCTCTTCTGCATAAATTAATGTTTCACTGTACAATAACTAGAGATTAGCTGATCAACACAGCAGCCACCTTTCCACCCTCTGTGGGCCAAAATCCTGTGGGATCTATTTTCAAGATACTACTACAAGGCAGAAGCGGGGCTGTAGCCTCCTTGTGCTGTGGGACAGGGAATTCCACAAAGCCTGAGGTCAGGCAGCTTTGCAGGATTCTTCTTAATGCTCCATGACACTTTGGATCCAAAAGCAGTAAATCCCAAGTTTCCCCCTCATGGGCATTACAAATGATGTCTTAATTTACCAGCACTAAGAAAACACTTTTTATCTCTTTGTTTATAACAGATTTTTTTTTTTTATTTTATAACAGAAAAATACAAAAGCAAGTCCTACAAGCTTTCCATTTACATTTTTAAAACAAAATGAGCTGGCCTGAGTCTTTCTACAGCAGGCACTGTCAAGACAACTCCATCTTGAATACTTTCTGTTTTAAAAATATTCTGCCCAGAATATATGTTTTTAAATTTTGATTGGTCTTTTTAAAGTGATAGGCATCTGTTGTTGAATATGTTGAGATGAACAGGGAAAGTCTTTCCTGCTAATTACAGTGTTAGCACTTATGTCACATTCAAGATTTATTCTCCTAACTTAGGAGGTAGGTAAATAAAGAGATAGATTCTCCTTCTGCTGCAAAGGGAAGGACAGAGGTGGAATAGGTAGACCCAGTCAGTGGTTCACAGTTTAAAGTTCTGTGCTCAGACCACTACATACCATTACATTTGCAGGTACTGGTTCATTCAGCCCTTCAGAAACCTAATCATTTTTAGGATTTCCAGTGTCCAAGTTCACAGTAACATTAATTACCATGCAGAAGTCTGGCTATATCAAGACAATTAAGAGATATGAAGAGAATTGGTGGAAGAGTGAATCAGGGGTCATAGTCTAGTTCAGTATACAGCCAACCAGTGCTCAGTCTGATAATTGAAAACAAAATACAAAGCTTGAGAGGAGCCAAAAAATATCTTAATAAATAATTAGAGCTTGTATGTTTCAGAGAGCCGGGTTTTCTTGGCAACACCAGGCAGTAGTCATTTCTGAACAAACAAGATTGAAATTTATGTCTCAGTGAAGCAATACTGGAAGCCTGTTTGACGTGCTGCACAAAGACCATTTCCGACGCTCTCCGCCAGATGAATTTCCTCCGTGTGCCGGAGGTGGGCAGAAATGTGGTGCATTCGCAAGATGTGCCTCAGATGCAAGATCGGTCTGTGCTCCACAGATATCACTTGTATTGATGAGTCCGTGGGACACTGCCAGGGGACATCTGCTTTTTAACTAATGAGGAGCTGGCTCAGTTTTACGTGCACTCCGGTGTTCAGGGGTGCTGAGCTTCTGCACCCATTCATGTCAGTGGAGTTTTTGTAGGTTCAGCAGTTGTAAAAACAAACAAACAAACAAACAAACCCACCAACAAAAAAACAGGCCTGCAGGTAATAGCTTTCTGCAGGTATGATTCACAGGTGCCTGCAGTGTATGTACAGCAGCTTGCTCCTGTGTAATCTAGAGGATAAATGCATTTGTACAAGAGGCTGGCCTTGGGAAATGCCTCCATAATCAGAACTACCACCAGCCAGTTCATGCTTACAGAAGAGCTTTGCCACAGCGAGGTATTACTAGCGGCATCTGTAAAATGGAAACCTGAGGCACAGGAAGCAGGCAGCGTTGCCTCTCGGCTCATTTGTGTGTGGTGGTGGTGGTTGTGGGGAGCCCAGGCTCCTCTTTTAAACCACTCCGGGGGGATTTTCCCTTCCCATCCCCTGTGGGACGGTCCTCCCTACCCCCTTGCAGCAGCAGACAGGGCTGGGGGTGGGCAGCGAGAGGGGCCATGGAGCAAGGGACAGGGAGGGGAGCTGTTTTCACCCTCCTCTGCATTTGCTGCCCCAGGCAAATGCCCTTCTCCTGCCCCCAGTGGCCTTAAAACGCAGGTTCCCAGTTCTGCACCCCTCACCTCCATGCAGCTCCTCCTGTCCCTCAGCTGCTAGGGAAAGAAAACAACAACAGGTGTAAAATTAATGCTTTCTCCTTTTTTACAGCATTACTGCAACATCCTTTTCTCCCCTATGGCTTCAAGGGGACTGGGCTGCTGTGCCAGAGCTGACTGCTTTACCTTTTGGGACCTTGTGCCGCGCTCCCACATTAAAAGGTTTGTTTGCTTTAAGAAAGCAGGTGCCGTCATTGTGAAGGAATGTATAAAATCTGGTGTCAATAAGCTTAATTGGTGTGAAGGCCTGATTGGGTTTGGGGGGAGAGGTGCAGATATTGCCTCCTGCTGAACTCTGTAAAGAGGCCTGGCAGCTTGGCTTTACTGGAGGGAGCTCCAGAGCAGTGACCTGAGGTGTGCGAGTAAAATCCTCAGCTGAGGGCTGGAAGGAAAAGTGCAATTAGTGGTGGTCTTTTACTGTTTCTGATGGTAGTCAGCTCTGATACACTGAGTAGAGTTAATGCTGAAATGCGTGGAGGTGTTAGGGCAGAGCTGGGAGAGCTGGTGGGTCTGGGAGGAGAAGCTTGAATCGTGAAAGAGAGGAGGCTTTCTGGATCTGGGATAATATGGGGTTCCTAGGGAGAAGCTTGCCAGCAGAACTAGAGAGTCTTGGTTCCTGCTGGTATGGCTCAGCCTTCCTAGGAAGACACTTCAATGTGCGTTTGATTAAGAAGAAAATGGGCAGAACAAGTGGAAAATAACAGTACATCTCAAAGAAAATTCCAGTGGGCAAGAGCTGTTAGTTGGCTTCAGATAGAAAGGCTGGGCTGTTCTAAGTGATCTGCTTTTTAGAGGTAAGCGAAAGGGGTACAAGTGTACACTTCAGGGTATAAGAAATTAAAGGGCAGCACAGCTGCTAGAAAATTAAAGTTGATGTATTTGCCTGTATAAATGCAGCATGTTTGCCAGAACTCTGCAGTTGGATTAAACTGAAAGCGTATGTTCTCCGACTTTAGGATTATCCTGCACTGGGCTGCATCTATCACTTCTGCTCTCTCCTCAGCAAAACAGCTGAAGTTCTGTGAACTAGCAGAACCGCAGATCTAAAGTCCAGCAATCCTTGCACCACTTTCAGTTCACTCCTTAAACTTCCTTTTCTCCTTTGTCCACTTCTTTCCCTATCTAGATGCTTCCTGATTTCTTCCTTTTTCTTTCTGATGTCTTTATTTCTAATGTCTTTTCCTTATTATTTTGCCCCTCTTTCAGTGCTGAGACATGACTCTGTCACTTGTTCAATGCATTTCCGGATAAAGTACCTTTGTGTTCTCATTTTTGCTTCCTTCACGTTTTGGAGAGGCTCCTTAGAAGCACCCCAAAATAAATCTGACTTTTTTTCTTTCACTTGCCCGAAAAGTCAACAGCAATAGGCTTCTGGTTTCCTGAGATTATTTCTGTTTATAGTGATCAATACTTGTTCAGGGTTTCCCTGCTATTTTCAATCTTGTTTAGATTGTAAGTAATTTGGATCAGAGACCTGTCTTTTTATTACAATTAGATCTTGGCTTGTACTTAAGGCTCCTAGTGAATCCTAAGCTGTTGATAGCAAAATAATTCAGCAGAGGGAATTTCATCTTCCTGTATAGGGTTTTTGCTACAGTCAGTGTGAATCCCTAAAAAAGATTAATATTTTCCAGTGAAACATATAACGTACTGATGACTTCAGGTTGTCCACCAGTCTTTGTAATTGGCATGAAATCTAGGATGGCTGGGAGTCAAAATCCTGTCTTTGGCTTTGTGTGTGTCCTGCTTATTACCTGCCTAATGAAGTAAGTAGGCAGGGCAATCTCTTTGTGTCATCCTGCAACCAGGTCAAGTTACTCACTAAACCTCTCTCTGGGAAAGTGGTTTGGAAGCATTTAGGTGAAGATTTTCTTTTCAGTACAAATTTGCTGCTTTGTGGAAACCTGTGGATGTTATAGGAGGAGATCAGCTTCAATGAATTTACTAGCTTTAAAATAATGTGGAGAAAAAAAAATATGAAGAAGTCTGTGATGATTCTAGCCGTTTCTAGAATGAAAGACTCCAGGCTTTCCTCTTGAAAGTGATACTAGTTGCACTAAGGCAATTAAAGAGAATATGCTGTTTACATTTAAGTGTTTATGCCACTTTTGTTTGAGTCAATTTTGATCTATGAAAACTTGAGACTTTGAATTTTTGTTTTGATTTTTTTAATAAGAAAAAGTTTAATTCTGCTACTTAGTAGAACTGTATCTTCTGAATTCTACTGAACAGAGTTATGAAAACTAGATGTGCTGCAGTTATATGAATTTACTTCCTTCAATACAGAAGCTTATTCCTGCCAATGGCAAACTGTCAGTGACGTCGATTTTATTCTCTGTTCTTGTCTTCTGTTTTAATATTCTCAGACCGATTTGTCTCATCTGCGCCTCTTCTCAAAATCTGCTTTACCAAAGCTGCCCCTTGTTCCAAGCAGACCTCTCTGTCTTTTTTTGCTTTGGGTAAGGCCGTGTTCACAGTGTACTGACTTTGAAGATTGCCATTATTTTAGGTACCAGCTTCAAGACAGGACATTAATTATTTCTTATACCCATCCTAAAGGAATGACAGGAAATTGCAGCATAACTGGGAGCTATTTCCATGTTATGACCGTGAGATAATGGCTGCTATGATAGGTAGTGTATGGCTACAGCTTCAGTTGCATGTGGAAGGTACGATATCCTGCAGCATGGGTTTTTTGCATAGATATAAATTACAGTTAATCAGCCGTGAATCTTGGGACCTGAGTTCCCTGGGGACTGATTCCCAGGGGCAGGGTGTGAACTGCTAGGATCTGTCCACAGGAGGTGGAAAGAAACCAGAAAGCAGCAAAAAACCGGGAGGGAGCAGTCATGAGCATGGCCCAGAAAGGTAACGGCAAAAGAACTCTGCAAGATGCAGAGCAGAAAGCAAAACTGGAAATCATGCATGATTAATCTACTTGCTGTTTTCTTATTGTGTTGTGGAAACTTGACTTTATAAACTGAATTGCACCAAAGAAATGTCTGGTTTGTGTTATCAATCTTGTCTCCATATGGAAACAAGTCAGATCAAACGTCAAGATTTTTTATTCTTTTAAGTGCCATCATGTTTTACTACATCTTTTGATATCTCTCATAACCATTTTCTTTTTCTTCTTTATAAATTATTAATTCACTAGGCAGTCAGCCACCCTTGAGTATTGCAGGGTTCTAAATTGCTTATTTTGCCAAAAAGTATTTGTTACTGGATCAGAAAAGCTTGACTGGCTAGTAAGGAGGGAATTCTTCCTAATAAATATTCCTTCTGGGTAGAGCGTGCCTCTACATTGGAAAAAAGAAAACTTCTGAGAAGCGTTCTAACAGTGTTTGTACTTACTGCTGAAGTCGGAATTGTAAGAAACACTTTGCTGTTCCTGCCTTGTGAAGATGTTCTAAAGGACAGAAACAAATTTTAATCTAAAGAATATTTATGGGTTATAGGAAATCTTATAATGCACGATATTACAGAGAAATTCAGATCTCTAATTCACACTTTAATACAGATGCAATGTTAATGTTACAGACTGGTGTACTTCTGAGGTTTTTCTGGACTGTCATTTCTGAAACTGCCTAGAGAAAGGGAAAGACTTTCTGATTTTGTCAATATAATTATATGGCTCTCAAAGGATTTGCTCCTGTTTTCAGCAGTCAGGAGAGAAGCAGTAGACTCATAATACACAACAAATAAATTCCACTTCCTGCCTTCAGATCTCTCAGTCAGACAGATGAAGAAAGATAATGGAAAAAAGCACTCAAACAAAAGAGTGAAAGTCGTGTTTCGTCTTTTTGGAGAAAATGAGAGTGGAGCTGCTCTGATAGGAGCTGTAATAAGAGTTGTTTCAAAGGGGAGGGGTGGCAGGAGGTGGGACATTCACTCTGCCAGATTTTGATTTAAACCTGAACACAATGGTGAGGCACCTGTTGAGAGCTGAAAGCTTTTCTAGAGATTTTGGTGCTGATTGTCGCCTCGCAGCTGGAGGATTATGTGTAACCTGAGCATTTAGCACTGAAGTTCTTACAGCAGCCTTGACAAGGATTGAAGGGAAAAGTTCCTCTTTTTTCTACAGTTAATACCACAAAATGGTGTTTTATAAAGTTTGTCTTTAATCTTACCTTGCTGTGATGCCCTTTCAAGAAAGAGGACTACAATCTGCAAATAAAGCCACTGTAAATGCAAGGATATGTTGTTTTAACTTCAAAAGTAACTGTAATTCTACTAAATATTATCATATACACAACTGAATCAAATCTCCCATTCTCTGTGCAATAGGCCCATGTGGTTGGTTTGGGTTTGGTGTCCGTCCCCCCCCGTATTTTAAAAACACCTTCCATTGTATAAACGTACTTAATCTAAATTGATCCTCCGTTGCCTGGAATTGCTGAGCTAATAGAACAAATAAGAGTTCATTTTATGCCTGTGTAAGACTCCATTCACTTCTCTGAGCCATACTGGGATCAGTATATTTGAATATGATGTGAATTCATGCTTTTTATCTTGTCACAAGAAAACAGAATGTCGGCTTCGTGGTATCAGCCTTTTATCAGTCATCTGAAGACAGGCAATAGAAAACATCACTAAAGTAATTGTAATTGGATGACATACAGAAGGAAGAGCTGCAAATCATGAAATTAGGCTCTTAAAACCTTCTTCTCCTTCATTTACTCATAACCCAAAGTAACTGTGGAAGTTTCTCAAGGTTTACATTAAAAAATGGCCATAGATGACAAATTAATTCAGTGCAAACTTAGGGTTCTTAAGTTACTACTGCCTAGACTCTTTAACAATAAATAAATAAACCTTTTTTAATATTTCTTACACAAGCACTGCAACATATGTTCCTGGAGAACATTAGATATGAGCTACTTTACAAGCAAATCAAAATAGTTGCATTCATTATCTGCTCTACTTTTTCCTAATGTAATCAATCTATATTAAAAAGATCATTGTGGAAGCACTGAGAAAAATAACTGAAGAATATTGTTTCCTCCAAAGTTCTGTCTTTAAAAGATATTGCACACACATACACTATATAAATATTTATTAGGAGTATGACAATTCTGGTGATGTTTAAGACATTGCAGCATTGGATTAAAACATTAGAAAATTGCATTGGACTATCTTGTCTCTCCCCTTGATAACACTGGATTGTTCTCTGAAGTTGCTTTATTTCCTGTACCATACGGAGTGCTTCAAATTTAGGACTATGACTAGTTCAGCTCCTGTCCAAAAAAATCTGGATTTCAGTAGTATTTCTATTCATTTGCTTAAAAACAAAAACTACGGAAGAGGAACTTAAAATATTCTTGTAAGTCAAAGAAATAGCATTGGGTTGCATAAATAACTCTTAACTTATACTCCTAGCTTGAACACACTACAACTTTATTTTTTTTTTCCTTCCTTCTGAGGTTTTCAAAAGGGAAAGCATCCCAGCCTTTACAGCGTTAACTAATATTGAATTATCTTATTTAGGTTCAAACCTAGCAATGAAGACACAATTTCTGCAGTGAGGAACTGGATGTTGACTTTATACAACTTACTGATGGAGAAAGTAGTAACACCTGAGAATAATGACTGCCAAAGGAAAAAAAGCTTCTGTGTGCTTCAGCTGGGGCTTCTGCAAAGGTAAGATGCAAAACCCTCATCACAAGTGGAAAAAGTGAAGAGCTTATCTTGAATATTTCGGTGAAAGAACCATAATTTTTGCAAGTAAGTTAGCGACTTTTTTTGTGTGTGTTTACACTATTTGGAAGGGTGGAATGCATTACTTGTAATTGTCATCCAGTAAGCTCTAAACAGCTTCCTTGAAAATGCAAGTATTTTCTCATTTGACTGATTTATCTTATTGTTCATGTTCAGTAATTTCCAGTGGGTTACCTACAACTCGCTAAACGGGTAGACATACTTTCACTGTTCACCTAAAATGGAGTATTCTTCAGTGGGATAGTGATAAATCAAAAGGAAAAAATCATTTCAGTATGGTAATTGCATCAACTTGTATTATTTTAGCTCAGCACGGTTGCAAATATAAATCTACTAAAAAGAACCAGGCAAAAAGATACATATACGCAACATTTTTAAAAGGCATCGTCACTTGCTTGTGTTAAAAGCTGCTAATCTATAGGCCTGGAAATACTTAGAACTTTCCTATTTTTGAACGATTGACTAACTCAAAAAAACCCCCAAAAACAACCAAAAAAAACCCCCACACCAAACCCAACATTTAAAAAGAGTGGTGAAAGGAAATCTTCTTGTTGAAGAAATGTAAAAGTAACATTTTTGGCAGGCCGCTTTGGGTGATGTCATTCTACAGAATGTGCTAAAGTCTGTTATTTTACAGCGGGAACTGGTTTCTCAAGGCAGGCAGAGTCTATGGGCACTTAGTGTTGCTCTCAACTTTAGCCAGCCAAGATCTGTGCTTTTTTTACACCTCGTTTGATGGTAATAAACCATGCACGCTTTTAAATATGGGACTCAGGCTTTTTTCATGTATATATATATAGACACATATATGTATAAGTATCTATATATGTTTGAAATCTTTTGCACACTGTTGTGTGGGTTTATCTCTTGGCTGAAGATATGCTCATTGCTAGTGTTGAGTATTCGTTGCCTTCTGTACTGGGTTCTGGCAGATGAGAACACTAAAAGTAGACTTGCTTTCCGCTCCCCCCGCCCCATACTGCCAATTCCTTGTGAGGTGACAATTCCTTGCTGTTTCTCCCCAGATACTTGCTAATACTCAGTCAATAGGATATCAGAGTAGCTACAGTTCAGTGTACGTTTGCTTTTTCATGAGTGAAAATAGGTCTCGGCTCTGAACCACGCTAACTTGAGTGCAAACCTTTGGTAAACCACAAAGAGCTTTACTGTATTTAAAGCATTAAGTAGTAAAAGGATTAGGTTCTGTTGAAATTACCCAAGAGGGAGCATGAATCAGGTGGTCTTTGGAGGGTTTAAGGATTGTCCTGTTAAGGGCCAATAAATGTAGTTCACTTGTGTGCTAACATAAGGGAGTATTTGTATTTGTTACATTTTATGTGACTACTTTTATGATACCATCTGCTCTATCCCATCTATTTGGAGCACTGAGCCTAGTCATGCAGTATAGGTACTTTAAAACAAAATGGTAAAGAGTACAGCTAGTACCAGAGAATACTCAGGGCCTGATTCTGGAGAAATTTTGTGGACTGCCAATGGAATAACATGTCACTTGGGATAAATTAGACTGGCCTTATGATTATTGCCTCTGAAAGAAAAAATGTTGAATACCTTTCACTTAGATTCTTTTCCTTTTGCATTTTACTTCTGGTGAGAAATACCACTGCAACAGTCCAAGTTAAATTTTTGTTTCTAGGGATATATTAAAATACTGTTTTATTAATCAAGATTTCAGTGTCTTCTGTCTTCTGACCAGGTTTATTTCTTATTCTTGTTTACCAGCATGAAAGTATTGATTTGGTACTTAGTGATGCAGGGGCTTTCTACATCCACTAAGGAAAATCTGCTTGGTTAATGTCTGGAAAAGAAATCCATTAAAGCCTCTGAAGTTTTATGAAGTCTTATTGCTGTTAACAAAATGCGTATATTTGATCTAAGCTCGGTGGATGCTTCTTACTTTAAAAATGACATTTATATAATGTTGTGTATTCTTAAGATAAGTTGGTCCTAATACTGCAAACAGTATTTTGGAAGATTTGTGTCTGTAGGCAAATGATACTAACCCTTTGTCTGTGGAATCACAAAAGAATAACAATTGTATTATAGGCACACCTGGCTCAGCTGCCTATTATTAAGTTTGCCTGACATACCCCATTAGAAGATGTTTTCAGTTGCTTAAAACATTTCCAAATATTAACTGTTTGGGCTGAAATTCTCCATGTCAGTTGTCCGCCCAAGTCTGATTTTTTTTTTCTTTTTTTACTTTCTTCTTATTTTTAAAGCTTAAGCCAAAACAGGTCTGCCAGTTCTGTGCACAAGACTAAAGAAAAGTATGTTATTTCTTCAGTGCTAAAAAATTCTAGTGTGTTCTGGGGTTTTTTTGTTTCCTTTTCCCCCCTGTGTTTTTGTTTTTAAATTCGAGCAGTTCTTTGTTTTGATGTAGAAAGCTGACATTTGTGTTAGAGATGTATCCTTTCCTTCTCGGTGAAAATCTACAGATACTTGGCCAAGCTGTAAGTGTGTGTTACCCCCTTTCGCAGAGGTATCCATCAGGGCTGACTATATACTGTTACTATCAGTTACTCTTAGCTCAAATGGCAGAGATCTGTATGGTAGATGTAAAGGCTGTAACTGATGATGAATCATACAGGTGCCAGCATGATGTGACGTGGTAGACTTTCTGTTTTTTTTCAAAACATAACATTGAAAACATTAAGGTTGCAAATTAGAGCACATAAGTTATAAAATGCTAAGCAAAAGGTTTTCCCATCCCCTTGTATGTATGTGTGCTTTTTGGCATACATCCATTCAATCTACCTTTTTTTTTCTTCTGTGGCTGATGCTTGGTAAGGTGCCCATGATGGACCTGCTTTGAGGAGGAGACTTTGCAGATATTAGAACTTAGTTTTCTGTAGGATCGTTGCCTCCCTTTTTGCAGCTGTTAGAATTGATGGATAGGGCTGAGAGGGGCTGCAGAACAGGGATCATCCCTTGGTAGCATAGATGAACACTGTCCTCGATAAATTAATTCTGTGCTGATGCCTACCATCGTGGTGCTTCGTGTCACTAGGCGAGACGTATAAACCAAATTGGTTGGGTTGTCAGAATTTGTGTGGTGGTGACTTTCTAGGTATATGATTTGAGGCTCTCATGTACAAGTCTGACTAGAGCAAATCAATATAAACTATGTTTTTGATATGTAGGTACTCCGAAAAATATGGTCCTGGACCATCTTGAATCAGTTCATTAAAACTGCTGAACATTTTTGACCTTGCTGTGCTTCAGTGTCCTGTTTGAAAGTACCACTCATTTAAATTAAGCGGTTATGAAGATTAATTAGGGTATATGAAGCATACATTGTGGAAAGCACAGGGAATGCTTCTATAATGGTGAAAAGCACATCAGGACGTTGGTTTTTGTCCTGAGGAAAGACTTCAGACAGGTTATAGCAGAGGAAGTCTATGGCAAGATTTCGACAATGGAGATAAGACAAAAGTTGGAATAGTTGTTCTTCACATCCCCCATGTGAGTCCTGGTTAAAGAATGGTTGTCAAACAATTTTAAATAATGTTTTAAAATGTCTATAAATGCAAAAATGATTTGGCGATAGTGAAAGTTTCAGACTTCACAAAATGCAGTGCAAAATTTTATCTGATTCTGTTTCGAAGTAGTTATCAATACTCTTTATTGGTACCATGGGCCATTTAACATTTGATATACTTGTCAGGTGCTGAAGGTCTAATTTATTAAGAGAGAAGTCACTACCAGCAGGTTCAGTTTCCAGTGTCACTGCAGTACTTCTTGGCTATTATAACCAAAGTAGAAGTTTGGAGCTTTGTGCCTGGTGTTGTCCAAATACCTATACTTTTAAATGTAATTAACTTTAGCAAGTCTGAATTAACAAAATGCGAAAGCGTTGTTTATGTTATGACTACTAGACCTTCCTAATAAAAAATAAATCCATGTGTATTTGAAATATAAAAGGCTTAGTACCTAATTGCAAAATGTAAGCAGTAAATATAATGGAGGCTTCTGTAATTATTTCATATATTTCTTTTCATGTGTGTATGGTCATGTATATGTACAGCTGTGTTTGGATGTTTAAGTGCGTTCTTGAAATACACTCTGCCTTCTGCAAATTATCTCGGTAGCAGCTGCTGTCTGTCGCACAAGCCAAGCATGGTGGGGTATAGTAAGATTCTTCCCCTTTCTCCATGAGGCATAATTTTATTAGGCTGTGTTGTAAATCATAGGGATGCCTGCTGAGTACACTCTGCAGTTATGATTTTTTGGCTATTGCTGCACAGAACTAGGATTTTCTTGCTTTAAAGTTAAAGCTTTCAAAGTTCAACTGTATTGAGTTATTTGTATGTGAACAACTGGTAGTCAGAAGAGATATTAGCACTGATTTGCTGGAAATACCTACTGATTGCTATCTAACAAAGACCCAGTTAAACTCAGGAGTGTCCTACAATAAACTCATGGATTTGTAGGTAATTACACTAAAAGCGGGGAAGTAGACACACCTTCATCTAGGGGAAAAACTGGAATCTACTGCCTAAGGAAATATGAATAGTGTGAAAACATCTGAACAGAATTACTGAATAAGGTAACTCACACTTTCTGTGGGGAGAAAACATGCAAGGGACTATTAACCTAATGCAGCTGTGGGCATCTTACTCCCTTGTAGGGGTGTGTCTGTGTGCTTTATCATATTGTGTAGCCCACGTTCTTCCTTTCCATTATAGGACTAACTTGGTTCCCCAGGATTTAGTCTTTCAGGGGGTCTTGTTTTAATTTTACAATGTAAGGTATTTCAGGGGCAGAGACTGTATCTTATTTATGGCTTTTATGAGTCATTTAGTTCATTTTTGGATGCTTGACAGATAATAATGTGTTTGATTGCATCATGTGGTATACCAGGTCTGTAGGAAAACAGACTTTCAACTCTATAATGAA